TCCAGGGCTGGGAGGCAGCTGTAAAATGCCTACTTTTGGTATTTTCTGTGGGTTTTCTCATTTCCTGTCAGAGTGGCTCACTTAGTGTGCACATTACCCAAATTGGTCCCTTATGTGCCACAAAGTAGAATTAGCTCCTTGGATACTGGAGTTGGTGCCTGTTTCCTAATTGATACCTTTATCCAAATCCTCACTCAAAACTTATTTTGAAGCCAGGCACAGTGGCCCACGCCTGTAATCCCAGCACCTTGGGAGGCCGAGGCGGGAGGATTGCTTGAGGTCAAGAGTTCAAGACCAGCCTGGCCAACATGGTGAAACCCCGTCTCTACTAAAAATACAAAAATTAGCTGGGCATGGTGGCGGGCACCTGTGATCCCAGCTACTTGGGAGGCTGAGGCAGGAGAATTACTTGAACCCAGGAGGTGGAGGTTGCAGTGAGCCGAGATCACGCCATTACACTCCAGCCTGGGTGACAGGGCAAGACCCTGTCTCAAAAACAAAAACAAAACTCATTCTGGAGCAGTCAAGGGTCAGGGGGTGATGCCAAGGCTTCCCTGGGACAGGCCCAAGAGAACTCTTTGGATCTCTGGTTCCCTTTCCAACAGCATCCTCTGCTTCTGTTCTCCTGGCAGTGAGGGAGGGCTGGTCAAGGAGTCAGCATTATGATAGGGAGAGATCCTCCTCTGCATCTGCACACCCCTGCGCCAGTGCTTCCTGGAAGTCAGGGGAGGGATCCTTCACATTGCACCCACAGTGGGCTTCCCCTCTCCTCTCTTTCTCCCCAGAAAGTCCCTGAGTACACACTGACCATCCAGGCCACAGACATGGATGGGGACGGCTCCACCACCACGGCAGTGGCAGTAGTGGAGATCCTCGATGCCAATGACAATGCTCCCGTGTTTGACCCCCAGAAGGTAATGCCCCTTCCTCACTCAGTCCCTCGTCAGATAACGAACGACCAAGGTTTGCCTTTCTCAGGAAACTGGAACCAGCCTATGTTGCTTCAAATGCCAGTCCCAGCACTATGGCTGTGTGACCTTAGGAAAACTACCTAACCTCTCTGTGCCCCATTTCCTAATCTGTGAAAAGGAGATAATGATAATACCTGCTGCATTGTTCTGAGTTTCAGATGAAATAACCTATGAATGTTTCCTAACACGATGCCCGAAAAGAAGTGCTCGATATGAAAATCTTTGTTGATTTGAAAACATGTTTTCCTTGTACCTATACCTGCCTATCTTTTCCCAATGAATGCTTGCGCACCTCCAAGGCAGAGGACTCAGTGCCAATCAAGGTGCCAATTACATCCTCCCGCTTCCATCTTTAGACAGCTCTGAACGTTAGTTAGGTCTGAATCAAAATGTGTAATGGGGCCAGGCATGGTGACTCACGCCTGTAATCCCAGCACTTTGGGAGGCCAAGGCAGGCAGAACAGTTGAGGCCAGGAGTTCAACCTGGCCAATATGGCAAAACCCTGTCTCTACTAAAAATACAAAAATTAACCAGGTGCAGTGGCGCACGCCTGTAGTCCTAGCTACTTGGGAAGCTGAGGCATGAAGATCACTTGAGCTTGCGAGGTGGAGGTTGAAGTGAGCCAAGACCGCACCACTGCACTCCAGCCTGAGTGGCAGAGTGAGATTGTCTTTAAAAAAAAAAAAAAAAA